GTATCGCCCACCTGCAGGTCAGGTGCAGCCCCCGCATATGGGAGGGGACCACCACCGGAGGGGAGGCACAGGATTGGCCCAGTAGGCATGGCCCCTGATGCTAGCGGGGCTGGCCCCTGGCCGGTATCGCCCACCTGCAGGTTGGGTGCAGCCCCCACATGTTCCCTCGTCGGAGGCATGAACAAGCATGCGGCTGCTACGGGGTTCCACTTAAAAGTTAATACCATAATGATAGTACAACGCCCGAAAGGCCATCCTTTTAGATTCAACAAGTGGTTGACTTGGTTGGGCTTTAGACTTTTGAAAAAGGAGAAAAAACAAAGAGAGCTTCTCCATGGTGGCAAGCACTGCCAGACAGTGTATCAGTGTATTCCACTGGCCAGCTATACAACATACAGTTGTTGAGCTGTATTTGGGGCAACTTTGAGTCTAGGTACAGCAATAATGACGGTATGTTGTAATCGGGCCAAGACAGTGGCATAGAGGATTGATTGGATAAGGTGCATGAATCTGGATGGGTTTTAAGCAGGGGCCTAGAAAAGCAGATAAATAACCATCTTCGGCACCTCTCCACAACAGATGTCCAGATTCAGGCTTTAAAATTCAAATCCAATCCTTTTTGCTAGTGGGACTGTGCCCCAGGATGTGGAACCTCTCTTCTTGGTGGGCCTCTCTTCTTGGTCTGCTCTGGAGGCACTGGGCTTTCCTTTTTTTTTTTTTTTTTTTTTTTTTTTAGAAAGCTTCATTACAGGAGCTTCCCTTGATTGAACTGGGCTTGTGGAGGTAGTGGTGGGGGTACATTGTTTTTCCAAGACAGTCGAAGGAGCAGGTTGGCCCTCTAGGGGCAAGGCAAGGAGAGTGAAGATTGGTGGTGATGAGGAATGGTGGCCAGTAGTGGCTGGTACAACTGGAGAGGAGAGGGAGAGGGGGGGAAGGGGGAAGGGGGAAGGAAGAGGGGAAGGGGGAGGGGAGGAAGGGTAGGAAGTAACATGCATCAGGCCATCTCCACCGGAGCTGTTTGATGTGTGGCCTTCCTTCTGCTTTTCTGTCTTTTTTAATTATGTGTCACCAGATTGAAG